CCGCCTCCCTGCTGAAGACATGGTTTAGAAACGAACCCTGCCTCTCCCGTGCCATACTTGCATCGAACACTGTCTGCCTCCAGCTAATGGAAAGTTTCATTGTAACCGCCACCTAAAACTTTAATAAGCTCACGAAGAAGACCACGTAACACCACCTACCCCCAAACCAATCACACACTTAAATAAACGAACAATAAATTTAAAAACGTGTTAAAGGGGTAACATTCTTCTTTCTTTCAAGTATTGGAGCTATCACTCCCCACTCCCCCATGACGGTCACCCCTGCAGCCCTCCTGTCTAATAAAATAACAAATAATTAACATGGCCACCCTGACAGCCCAAACAGAAGGCGTGGCCACCACAATGCATGCTTCCTCAGCTCGGGGATCTAGGTCTGACGGTCACCCCCGCAGCCCTGCTGTCTAAAGCAGCACTGGGCACCCACGAGGTGCCCACTCAGCACTTCCTGGGTCATCATGGCCCCCAGTGTGAGAGAACCATGGGGAGCCTGCAGGGGTCAAGTTCTGGCTGCATCACCAGCCAGTTACCTATTTCTGGTGGACAGTCTCCGCCACCTCCGATGGCTCGATGGCCCCGTGTGTCAGATGGCCACGGTAGCAGCAGCGCCCACTTCCTGCACTGTGCGAGAACGAAGCGTGAGCATGACGACCTGCTGGCTCGGCACCCTGCAGGCGGTGAGGCTGACCGCAGGTGACCACTAGGCCATGCCACCACTGTGTCGGGAAGGCCCGAAGCAGGCGGCCGTGACGCTGTCTACCCAGCACCGCTTCCCTCATATCTTCGGGTGCCTGACACACCTGTCGGATCCCGCGATGGGCCCCCGGCCTGAACCCGCCCCACAGGAGCTCTCCTGGGACTTAGAAGCAGCCACATCCTCGTGGCCAAAGGTGTAGGTCAGCAGCCCCAAAGCGGTCGGTAGCCATGTTTCCCATCCTGGGGAGGATGCAGGCCAAAGAAAGAGATGAGCACCGCCACAGAGAGAAAGCTGCATCGGGGACAGACCCTGGCCCCCGAGCCCTGGCTATGGCTGTTCCCATTGGCTGCTCAACTGACTGAGGTCCCAGGAGCCGGGGACCTCCTCTTTGGCCCACACCACTTCATGTTGTCACTGGCAACTAAAAGCCCAACCAGGACCTGCCGAGAGTGAAGAGCTGGGGTAGGCAACATCAATGCGGCAAAACAGGAGTCTATTAAAGGGAAGGGCTAGCCTTGAGCCTTGCGGCCGAGTCCCACATAGCCAACCGCGGTTCTTAGACCAGGAATCGGAGCACGCCAGACTGGAGGGACAGACGGGCCCTGCCTGGGGTTTCTGCCTCTCTGGCCAGAAAACGAGGCCTGTTCCAAGTACGAGAGGAAGCGGACTTTAACACAGCAGCACTGCAGAGCGGTCAGCTAAGATCCGGGGTGCCCAGCTGATGTGAGTTGGAGACAAACAATGAACAACAGTTTAGTATACGCATGTCTCCAACACTGCACAGGAAACACACTTCTACCACCCAAGTTCCAAGTTTTCTGTATTTCTATCTGAAATTCAGACTTATCCGGGTAGCCCAGGTTTTTATTTGCCAAACGCAGCACAGGGCAGAGAAGGAGAACATGAGGATGCCGTGAAGCCCTTGGCCACACGCTGCCTCTGCACTCCTGACCAGGGGAAGTCGCCCAGCCCCTCATATTTAAGCACTTCCGAATTCCTGCACCCCAAAGCATCCTATGCTGTGCTTAAGGCAGTGGTTTTCATCTAGGCAGGACGGCCACAGAGCCCAGGCTCCCATGGCCAGCCTAAATCCGGGGGAGACAGAAACTAAACGGCACGTCGCCAGCTATGAAGCCGGTGTTCAGGACGTTGAACTTGCATTTTCAGAGCTGTGGAAAACAGCTTGACAGACCCACTGGGATTCATCAGATTCTCCTCAGTCAGTGTCAGTTTTTTACTATAAAGTCACAGAACATGAATTCACTCAAAACCATAAAACTCCTCCGTGAACAGTAAGAAATTCTAAAACGTCAGCAAAGACGACCACTGATCGCTATTGAAAGCACGAAACCAAAAAAACACCAGCAATTCAAGAGTAAGCGCTCCGATGTTTAAACATTAATGATAAATTGTTATGGAGGACCACCTTGTGGCCTGGTGGTTAAGGTGGCTGGATCCCACATGGCCAAATGCATGGGTCAAATCCGGGACCTGTGGCTTAGAAATACATGCTGGGCATGTGTGTGTGCGTGCACAAACTCACGAAAGGAGAGAGGAACAATGAAGGGACAGCAGGGCAGCCATGCCCCACGAGGGGTGTTTCCCTACTCCCCATCCACCACCCTCCCCTCACCTCCTGAGCACATGTGCCCTCTGGCAAATTATTCCCAATTTTTTTTCTTATGCAATTTCATTTGGGAAAAAAATATAAAAAAATTTTTCCACAGAAAATGTTGACTTTACATCAAACCGAGAGCATTATGAAGTGGTGACGTTAATAGGAGGGGAGCGTCACTGAATTGCTGAAAGGGCAACCACCAGGCAGAGCTGGGCTTTGAGGCTGGAAGTTCTGTGTGTCTGTTGGACATACTGTTGGTCAGCGTTGAACACCTCAAGGCGATGACCCCAGAGATTTTCCATGCACTGCCCGGCGCATGGTCTGTGAGCAGAGCAGTGGTCGTTACAGCTGGGACGAGACCAGACCATTCCTGTGTTCTCATTGGCCGCCACTGGGCTTGGGGCAACTCAGGGTAAGGGGCGTTTCCATTACGTGGACCGCACAGCTTTGACAGCGCCTTCAAGCCCATAAAAAGCTGAAATTTGGGGCATCCCCACAGGGAACAAATGTGAAACTGAGGGAAGTTCTAGCAAAGGTATCTTTGGAAAAAGACAGATAAATAGACAGAGGGGAGAGGAAAAAAAAATTCATCTATAAATTTAACAAGGCTCCAACCCAATCAAAATATTGTGTCGTCGGAAAAGTCATGATGCAGTTTAGCACAGAAAGACAAAAAAAAAAAAAAAAAAAAACGCCATGACTTTCGGATGACTCAACACCGATAGGATTTTTGTGTATGTGTGTGAGGGATCAGACAACTTGAAAAAAATCGTTTCTAAGTTTTAGCTGCAGAAAGGAACAAATAACACATATCTGAAAAGTTAGAACAGAGGGAAGGAGATAGCCCAGAAAGAAATGGAAAGTATTATGAGCAAAACCCACTGGAACAGTGTGGCAGAACCCCGGGATGACACAGGATGCTCAGAGCAACAGGAGATGGAGCAGCAGACCTTGTTTCCCAACAAGATCCCCAATGGGGGACGGAATGCAGGCAACCGGGCAACTGCCCCTTCCCCTCCATCCCGCCAGACCCCATTGGGTCCCTTCACCGCGCTGCTACTCTTGTCATAGCCTGACCTCCACTGCCACACCTTCCTGGGACACAGAGGATTGCAGACAAGGAAAAGGCATTCTCTCTACATGTTGGGATCCTCAGAGTATCCCAGTTGCTGTAAGGTCTCGTATCATCTGAGGGCTGGCCCCATTGCACAGTGGTCAAGCACTAAGCGTAAGGAGCCAGAACAAACATGGCTACCCATGGTTTGAACCTTGGACCTGGCAGCTTGGAAACCATGCCAGACACACGTGTGTGCTTGCCCCACATCCCGACAGAATGGAGAACTAGAGGAGACGGGATTGTGGAGTGGCCGCGCCCCATGGGGGAGAGTACTTTCTATCCATCTATCTCTGTCTCTATCTCTCTTCTCTGGAGAGCGCATATGCCTCTGGTGATTTAAAAAAATAATAATACAATCTGAAACCAGGACCACGTCTTACCTGTTTCCTCTTTTCAGGAGGAAGTGAAGGATCTCCATCCTATAAAGAAACAGATATTACATTTCACTATTTTTTGAGAAAAGATGTGCTTCAGGAACCGTTCAAGAAGTTGAACCAACTATGAACCCAAAGCTGAAGCCTACCCACTCTCATCACCCTGCAACCAGTAATACGCTGAACCAAACTCAAACATATATTTTTTTAAGTTAGGTATAAACTAAACTAGTTCCTAGAGTTATTTTGGGAAAATCAGTTAGGATGAGTCAGTTCCCGTTAGGATGAAAACTATTCTAGGGGTCTTCAAATGTTCATGGAAAATGCTTAGTAAAAACAAAAACAAAACAAAACAAAACAGAACAACAAAAACAGGGAGCGATCTCAAAACAACTTTTGTACCAAGTACATTTACACTTGAATTCCAAATGCTTTGAATTTCTCTTACTTATTTTCTGAAACTTACATGACTCAAACAAACAAAACTGGATCGATCAGATCTGTATATATGGAAGGAGAGAGTTCCGGGGTGTATTTCTGACAGTCTCAGCTCCTGGTTAGCTGAGACCATGGAGCACCTGCCGTGACCGGCCTGTTAGGCAGGTCTGCAACTCGAGCTCGGTGAAGCCCCAGCCTTGGGCAGCTTGGCCCCGCTGTTTGTACCTGTCTGCACCTCCGTGATGGGCAGTACTATTTCTGGGCAAAGCCTACACTGAAATAATTGCTCATTGGGTTTGAGCTCCTCTTTTAAATAGTATAGTTAAGACCAGAGGAACAGAAATGGATGCACACACATGTACATGTACACAACACACACACACACACACACACACACACACACACACACATATACACTCCTGAGTTTTTCCTCAATGGACAAAAAAATGGGGGGGGGAAGGTAGGGTCTGCTAAAAAAATAGAGAGAAAGAGAGAGAGGGGGGAAAAAAGGAAACTTCCAGTCCTATTAAGACTTTTTGTTCTAAAAAGACTCTATTTCTCTCCTTTTGGTGCCATCTGGTGATAAAAATATCTGAAGCGAATGAGTAGATGCTAAATTCTCTCTGCTGATGCTGTCTATGTGTAGGTCAATGTTCTCTTAACCCAAGGAATCTTTCAGTTCTATTTCTGCCCCTGCCAGTCTGATGACCCCAGCACAGATGGCTAGATGTTAGCATGGTGTCTGCACTTAAAAAAAAAAAAAAGAGATTGCACCAATGAGAAAAAAAAGAGGGGAGAATGCAAAACAGCTCTGTGCAATTCACGTCCGCCACTTCAGCATCATTTGCAGCCTTAAAAATCTTGTCACTGAAAACTTAGAGAAAACCTCCAAGCCCAGGGTGTAGGTAAGGGCATGAAGAGGGACACACCTATCCATACTGTGGTTACTACGCTACTGTTCTAAGGATGAGTTAAGTATGCAAGCGTGGCTCAGAAAGACATCCGAATAAAGTGTTGAGTGAGACGAGCATGTTTTAGAACAACATTGATACCATGCTGTCCAACAGCACTGTCTACACTGGATGACAACATCGTGCGCCTTCACCACCTGATAGTGTAGCCACCTCGGAAGTTTTCCGGATCAGTCCTGTCCAGTACAGTAGCCACCTGGGGCAACAGAGTCTCGACAGCGTGACAAGTGAGTTTGAAAAACTGAGTTTCTGATTTTAATTCTTGTTCAATTTAAATTGACATACGTAGCTAGTGGTCTCTGTATTAGAACAGACGTAGAATACAAATCCAGGGCCAGCAGATGGTGTAGTGGTTATGTCGCTGGACTCCCACATACTCGAGTGCGGTTTGAATCCCAGACCTGGTGGCTTAAAACTCATGCCAGGTGCGTGTGTGTGTGTGCATTCTCAAAATCCCAAGAGGAGAATGGAGGAGAGGAGAATGGAGGAGAGGGGATTGTGGTGTGGCCATGCCCCCAGGGGGGTGATTTCTTGCTTTCTGTCTCTCTGTCTCCCCAGCAAGCCTATGCACCCAATAGCAAAAATCTCTCAAAAAATTATTATACAAATCCTCTTTAAAAAAAAATAAAACAAACAAACATAAACACCTTTGGACTGTGGGCAAGGCAGCTGGATCCCACATGGCCAACTGTACAGTTCAAGTTCTGGACCCAATGGCTTAAGAAACATAGAGGGCCCATGGGCATCCGTGCCTGAAATCCCAAAAGGAGGCAGAGATGGAGAAGGGATTACAGTGTGGCCATTCTCCATGGGGGAGCACGGTTCTTGCTTTCTCTCTGTCTCTCTGTCTCTCTCTCTCTTCTGTAAATACACATACCCTCACCCACTGGAAATTTCAAAAGAAAACAACCTCTATATAAATACATAAATGGGTAAGACAGCAGCCACACACGAAAACAAACATACATGTACATATGTCCACAGGTGTGAGCAGTCTGGAAATATGTATATACTTCGAAAGGCTCATGGAAAACACTTCTACGGAAACAAAAAAACTATACATGGACTTCAAAAATCTGTGTACACCAAAATAAACTCCCCCTTTCGTTCCATTTTCCACACACTTTCCGAATCCCTTCGGAGGTATGTGAGTTGAGGAGCGAGACTGGGTTGTGGAGGAAACAGGGTTGGCAGCTTTCCCTCTTCATCTCCCCTCCTGAGCTATCTGAATTGAGCCATCTCTGAAGACGTGGGGTGTGAAAATGCCCCCTTCCTAGCGCGGGCGCGGGCACAGGGAGGTGGCCGAGCCCAACACCTACGATCAGCTCCCGGTACTTCTTCTTCAGGGCCTGGTGGCGCTCGCGAAGCTGGTTGGCCATGAGTTTGTACTGGTCCCTTTCCTGCTGGCAGGTGTCCAGCTCCTTGGACAGGATCAGCAGGGCTTCCTTCTTACTCTCCAGCTTCCGCTTACAGACCAGGTACTGCGAACAGAGCAGGGCAAAGGGTCAGAGCCCGCTCACCGCCACACGGATGCTGTCATGGTGCCCAACATGCAGTCCACTCACGACAGGACCCTACCGAATTTCCCAACCAAAGCCTAACATGTCATTGGCCACTCCATTGAAAAGCAGAACATGTCTACAAATTATAAGATGGAACAACTCCGCATAGACTTCGAAGATCTGTTTACACCAAAATAAACTCCTCCGTTCATTCCATTTTCCCACACACTTTTCGAATCCCTTCAGAGAGAGATGAACTGAAGAGTGAGACCGGTTTGTGGAGGAAAAGGATCCGCAGCTCTCCCTCCTTCATCTCCACTGTTGAACTGTTTGAATCTGACCATCTTTGAAGACGGGGCGTGTGAAGAATAAATGACTATAGATGAGTAAACAGATACTGAACCCCAATTTTGTTTAAAAAGGCTTCTGAGATCCAGAAATGAGTACATAAAATTTTTATTAAATTTTAATTTTATATCTAGAAAGGTATTTCATTTTAGAAAATGGTCAAAATATTGCTAAGGATACTCTCTTGGCAGTGAAATGATTTGCCTACTTTTTACGTTTTTTTTCTTTATGCCTTTTTGTTTTTGAAGTTTTCTGAGATAAGCCCATAGGCTCCACTCACGAAAGAAATACCCAAAAATGTTATTAAAAACAATTTAATTGAACCATAAATCACTGCAATAGATTGCACTTGCCCACGCGACCGAGCAGACACTTTCTCACTTGCAAATGTGTCCAGCGACTTGGCCGGGATATGTACAACTTCTTCCATGATTCAAATGCAGGCACCCACCACCCAAAGACCAATTGTAGGAGCAAGTATTTTAGCCACTTTGAGTTCTCCCAAATAGTTGGGAGCACCGGGCTGAAACTCTTGCCTCAGAGTAAGGGGATGCCTTGGTCGGTCCCTTCTCTACACTCCCTTGCACCATGAACCCCCTTCACCTGCCAATCACGCTCCACCGTGGCCAGTGGGGGCCTGGCCAGGACTCGTTCTGTTTATTGAATATATTGGATCATCCAGTGTTATTCATATATGTGAAATGTGGCACTAAATACCTTTTGAATTTGCCCCGTAAAAGACCAAATTCAGAGCATTCATGAAAACAATTTATAGTTTCATTATCCACTCTGACACGAGCACTTTGTCATTATGGACGCTCACACAAAGCAGAGCGAGAATCAGCACTCCCAAAGCATTCGAGTCAATGGTCTTTTATGGACAAAACGCATTACTCATACACAGTGCCTGCTCGGAGCTGACTTTGTTAAGTTCAATTTCAAATAAATGAAAGGGGAAAAAGAGAGTTTTGTGCATTAGTACAGTTTTTTTCTTCTTCAGAAAAAAAAAAAAGAAGTAATTGCTTAGCTTCAAAAACAAAGGGGAAAAAAAAAAGCTATTCTGAGACAGATTTGAGTTCTAAGAGAGGACACTTCCACCTTGGAAGAATTTTATTCCTGGCAGTAATGAGGTTGGAATCCTGCCTTAAAACGTCCTGGATTCTGAGACGTTGACATCGTCTTCATGGAGGCAAAATGCTTCTCCTGCCACAGTGATCTCTCAAGAGTAAACCCCCCACGAGGAAATGCCAGAGAAGAGGAGCTCAGGAACCTGAACGGCGATGCCCCGGGGAGGTATTGAGACTTCGCAGGGAAAATACCATTTACACGCGATCTAGCAGGTGTGCCCTTGTGCCCTCAGTACTTTCCCCATCGGCGGCAGCCTCGCTCACCCATGCTGTATCGGCACAAAGCAGCCACCTTTGTCTCTTCCATTCATCAGATCCAAACCTGAGGTCCACGGACACGGTGTCTGCCAACTTTGGGGAAGGAAATCCCAATTGCATGGAGACCTTGTGAATTGCAGTAGGTTGGCTTAGATGTAACATCCAGTCTATGCAGGGAGAGGAAAGGGCCACCATTTACTGGCAAAGAGGAGATCCGAGCTCCCGGCCCTGGAATGGCCGTCTGTAGGGTTCACAAGAAAGGCCATTGCCCTCCCAGGGAAATGGGTCCAATCAGGGCCACAGCAGCTGGCAAGGTCATCACTGTTAGTATTATTATTAACAACCACAAAAGAATACAGGTTTGTGACAAGTGCTTTACATGTACCATCTTCTTTAATCCTCCCAACAACAGAGTGAGGTCACAGTGTTGGCATCATCTATTAGGTCGTCGGGAAAATCATGACGTATTTCTCTGTTTTCCTGTGAAACGATGCGTCACCACTTTCCCGACAACACGATACATGCATAAACGAAGAGAAGCTTAAATGAAGGTGTGCATGAAAAGTGCCAAGGGATTGCTGAGAGTCAGAATTTGACCCAGAGCTTTAACAGGCCAAGTCCATAGGACCCAGATTCCTAACAAGCTAAGACTTCTGTACAAAACACAAAACCAGAACAGAATCAGAACACCCACGGAGTCTCACCCTACATCTCAGTATTTGTAGCGTAACGAAGCTAAGAAGGGAATTTTGAACTTGGCTACTTTCCTGGACCCAGACCAAGTGGGTAAAGGTTGTATTCATCATTAAGTCTCTAAAACCAGTCAGTCTGCCTCTTCTTTCCTCACAGGCAAGGCCTCAAGGAAAAGGGGAAAACATTAAAGCTTCCACAAGCCTCCCCTTCCCTCTGCCCCTTGTGAGGGAGCCTGAGTGGACATAGTAAGGTTTCTGCCTACTTGCAAGAAATGGGGTTACATGGCAGGGCCTTGGGCAGGAGCCCGAGGGTCGTCTCCCCAAAGGCCGTTGCTCGTCACAGCAGGAGTTCTCTGTGAGCTGCAGCTGGTCTCAGTTGCTCACGCCACACTAGTTTCTGGCTTCCTTCTCCGAGCCAATCACTGGTCCCCTAAAGGGATAAATGTCCCTGCTGGATTTTGAAAAGGAAAAACATGATACGTGGATAAGAAAATCCTGACAGTTCTGAAAACGGACCATGTTTCCCCATCTCATTTGTGAGCTACGCTGACATGAGGGTGTTTATGGTCCATTTCCGGTGGAGTACAAATATTCAGACATTTGCTGAGGACGCATCAATGTGTTTGGCCCCTGGCTGCCACCTCAGACTCTGCCAGGACGACAGACATGTCACAAAAAGAATATTGGCTGCATTTCCTTTCAGAGTCCAAAGCTCCTGTATCCGAAACCCCTCTGTAGGCTAGCAGAACCCCAGAGTGCGTTAAACACAGTCAGTCTTCAAGCCGCCACGGTGCTCGCTCCCGTGTGGCCATCTGACAGCCCCTTTCTATATCCTTCACAATCAGCACAAATAAAAATCAAGGGGACACACCTCACAGACAACCCCAGTGACTCTCCCGATGGCAAAGAACAAGAGTCTGACTTCCAGCATGTTCCATAGCAACGCTTTCCATGGCGTGGGCCAGGATGCAGTAGTCTGGGGAGTGAAATCCACTCAGCTACAATCCTCGCTTTCTTTACGAGATCCAAACAATACAGGAGGCAGAGGGAAAACGTCAGCGCGGATCCCACAGTCAGGGTGAGTGCTGAGACTTTAGTTTTTGACTATCTGTGTGTAGAAGTAAACACTATGAGGGAGTATTCAAAAAGGTCACGGGTGGACTAGTTGGTGGCATGGTGCTTAAGGGGGCTCGATTCCACATGGCTGACTTGGAGGTTCAAGTCCCACACCTGGCTGCTTAAAAAATATGCCCAGTGTGTATGTGTGCGTGCGTGCCCAAAGTCCCAAGAGGGGAGCAGAGGAGAAGGGGTCGCAGTGCAGCAATCCCTCCTGAGGGGTGATTTCTCACTCTGTCTCTCTCTTTATCTCTCTCTCTGTTTCTCTGTCTCTCTCCAGTGAGCGTGCATGCCCTATAGCATACAAAAAAACCAAACAAACAAACAAAAAAAGGCAGAAAAAAACCCAAAACCAGAAAACTAAAAGTTCATGGACATGTGTCTTACACATGGGATTTCAAAACTTTTGTGCACCAAAAGAAATGTGTTCTTTATTTAAATCCACTTTTTCTATGAACTTTTCCAAGTCCCCAGATATGCTTATTTTCACACATTTATTAAGAACTGTAATTTTAGAAGTCTGAGCACGACTATTGGCTAAGAGCCACACCACACATTCATTCATTCAACAAAAGGCACAGAGAGAGGCAGGGGCGGGGCTGGGGGGCAGGGGAC